TACCAAACATACTGAGAACGAAAACTTCAAGGATGATGTTAGAAAAATGTGATTTACTAGAACTTGTTGTTTGATGTTAGCAAATCATGGAATGTTCCAAGTCTCTGAGGGTTTACTGTGAAGTGCTGAGGACAGTGTTGATGCCTAACTAGTTTTCTTAGATGGAAACAGAGACATTGAGCCCTCTCTCTTGATTTAGTAAACCACTCCAGAATGGCCACGGGTTTCCCAGAGTTCTATGGTCTTCCCAAGAAGAGTTTTTAATTGTAAATGCAGACTTGGGAAAGACTTAAGACTTTTAACCTGGTTTTTGCTTTTGCTTTTCCCTGACTCCCTTTGCTAGGAGTCAGCTGCACACCAGTAGGATGGCATGCTACGATCAGTTTCTGTCCTGAATGCTTTGCCTCTTTCTTGGCAAAGTTTCTGGTATGGTCAAGCTTGTAAATAACCTTTTTTACATTTTAATCTTTTCCATTAATTAAGAGGTTGAAAAGAAGCGCAGTGTAAGAAAACCCAGCATTTTAATTACTTGCAAATTAAGGTACCAGGGACTGGGTGGTGTGTAAATGTTGTATCTATCACAATCATGTGGCAGAAGGGCATCGGGCCTGCTGCCTGCTAGTGATGGACACCCATGTCGAAAGTTGTGATTTCCAGCTCATGGAGCCAGCATTTGAACCTTGAACAAATAACTCTCATTTATGATTTCCCATCAACATTTCCTTTGCTCTGTTTGTAGCTGAATGTTATATTTTTTAAATCTTTGTTAAAGCCAGAAGAGTTGATTATGAATGGGTCACAGCAGCCCTGGCAAGCTGGGCCAAAAAATTTCACTAGGTCAGTAATTTAAACTTTGGATCTGGAAAAAAAAAAAAAAGAAAAATGATTAATAATAATGTGAAGCAAACCAACTTAAAAAGTGATTCTTGCACATGAATTGTCACATGTTGATATGTGTTTTTTTAAAAGAGCCTCAGTCTGACTGATTTCAAACACTTTTTTTCTTCCGTGTATTGCTTTTAAGAGAGCCATCAGTTAGCTATCAGACTCTAGGTTGATGCATTTTTGTACTTAGCTGTACTGTGTGATATTTTTCATTATTTTAGGACGCCAACATGAGACCTGTAATAAAATATGTAATGGGGTTGAAAGCTGGGGAGGAGGATCTACTGCTGTACAGCTAATAAATCATAACGGATTAACAGGCACTCTGCAGACTCCATCTTTTGTGATTCCTGTTAGCTGGGGTCCCTCGGGGCCTATCTCAGCTTCCTCTAAGCAACAGCCTGTAGCTCGATGGTCCTGGCAGACCACAGCATGGAATGTATCCTGTTTCAAGTCGTAGTGCCAACAAGTGTGCAGGGATAGAGAAGTGCATGCTTAACATAGCCTCCTGTTTCCACGGTACACCTGAGATGCCTGCCCCTTACACAACAGGCATTGCCAGAGGATGCTGTGTCCTTGAGATCTGCTTTAGGAAGATTTACGGTCTGTCCTAGTTTTTAGCCAGACAGGGAGCAGAAAAGCTGAGCTCAACCTGTGAGAGACAAAGAGCATTGGAAAAGTAAGACAGGCTGAGGACAAACTCAGGTGATAATTCTTATTCCTTAGCTCCACGGGGGGGGGGGGGGGGGCCGGAAAAAAATTTTAAGGGGAAACAAAATTGGTGGGGGGGGGGGGGGGGGGTCGTCAGATAATACATTGTAGTGGAAACCACATTGTGTGTGTGTGTGGGGGGGTGTTTCACTAAAAATACTCCTTATTGGATTTCTCCTGTCTCTGTGTGTTATTTCACCAAAAGTCCAATACTGGTTTTCAGATGCTTTTCTGTGAGAAAAAGGCAAAGGGCAAGATTCACGCAGCTTGTAGCTGGCTTGTGTTACCTGTTCGAGCAATTTAATGAGGAAAACAACAATGGGCTTCTTGAGTCTGGAAGGTTCCAAACCAGGCAGGCATCTCACCTAAATGAGTACTAACAGCCTTGGACTGTTAGAACTAGAGTTATTTATAATTAGAAAATCCCTTTTACAGAACAGTCAGCCAGTATGCCCCCCCCCTGTTTATGTATATTCAAATTTCCTGAAAATTCAAGAGTGCATCTGTCTTGGGCTAGCTTGGTGAAAGGGTCAAGCAGGAAGTGAAGTTCTGATGGAGCTAAAGAACGGTTTTGCACAGCTTGTGCTACACCTGACATGAGTCCATTAACCCCTCTACATCCAGCTGGCCATCACCCCTATTCTACTGTGAAAGCTTAGCAAATTGCTGAGCCTGCAGTAATCAGTAATCTATAGTCTGTAATACATTCTTTACATTTCTGGCCTGGCTTCAGCCCTGTCCACAGCTGTCCTGTTCTGTGAGCCCTCAGAACAGGTTCTTAGTCAGGTTCTTTTTCTAGTAAAACCACTTGCGGTGAATGAGCCCTCATCCAATGTTCCTCAGCATTAAGTTTTTTTGTCCTGCTGAGCTTCCACATCACCCGCAGAATCTGTCTTGAGTGTTCTTGGTCTCAGATTTGTTTGTCACTACTGTACCAACCACAAGCAGCTGTAAGCTAGACTTGGTTACCTCTGTAGATCCTGTTTTTTCCAGTAGTCCCTATCTGCCTCAAGCACTCGAGGCATAGGAATAACCCTGTTAGTGTTCTGTCTGGCCTTGACCAGGAGGGTGCTTCTGCCTGGGCACTTCTATCGCCCTTTGACAGTCACCCCTTCTTATTTTAATGAGAAAAGTTCTAGAGGGCAGAGGGGGGTAGAAGTCCCAGAGATGCCATGGTAGGCTTGGTAGATGGAAGTACTCACTGAATACACATCTCTAAATAAACATCACAGCCAGTCATGCTGGCACACCACTGTAATGCCAGCACTTTGGAGGAGGCAGGAATTCAACGCTGGCTTGGTGCTCAGAAGCAATTCTGGCGCTCAGGAGGTGAAGGAGGATTGCCACAAGCTTAAGGCCAGCTTGAACTACATAGTACCTGACAGCCAGGGATAGCAAGAGCCCCGTGCCAACAAAAAGGGAGCTGGAGAAATGGTTCAGTGGTTAAGGCACTTGCTGCTCTTGTAGAGGACCAGAATTTGGTTCTAGCACCCACTGCGGGCAGGGCACAATTACCTATAACTCTGGGTGATCTGATACCCTTCTGACCCCTGTGTGCACCCACACAAAGTGCATAGACACACAAACCAAGTTCTGGGAGTAACTCAGGTGTCAGTCGATAGCTTTTTTTTTTTTTTAAAGATTATTATGTATACAACATTCTGCTTCCATGTATATCTGCACATCAGAAGAGGGCACCAGATCTTATAACGGATGGTTGTGAGCCACCATGTGGTTGCTGGGAATTGAACTCAGGATCTCTGGAAGAGCAGTCGGTGCTCTTAACCTCTGAGCCATCTCTCCAGCCCCAGTCAATAGCTTTCAAAAGACTAGTGAGGCTAATTGTCAAAATTCATTCACTTTGTCTTTCAAAACCCACATTCTTGGCCATAATGAGCATGAGACTAATTTCTGCCACCCTATAAGCTATTTGTGAATTCCAGATGGCCTTAAAGTCTTACATGTCAGTCTCAGGCTGAGAGGCATCAGAACATCTTGGTTCTGACTGCATCTGCTCTAGCCAATCGCTCCCTATCCTATCAGCCTTAAGCTGTCCTACCATGTTCATCTTAAAATGACTGTGTCGTTCCCCAAATTGTTTCTCCATTTCTACTTCCTGTCTTGTCCTATGATTTGGTGGAAGTCGGCAAACACATTAAGAGGTTTGTTCTCATCACATTTCAGGGAATTGAACTCTTTCACGTAGGCAAAGCAAATGCTCCTGGCACTTAGCCATTTTATTTTGAAGAGACAGGGTCTCTGTGTTGTTCAGGTTGTTCAGAAAGTCCTGTTGATTCAGAATGGCTGGGACTTGGTCAAGGGGGTCCTATCTAGAGGATATGCCCAGTCTCATCCCCATGACTGGGAAAGGTAAGTAGAGATGGGAAAGAAGCTGAAGACCTACCCAGTTCATAGCCTTCCACTTTCCAGGACATTACATTTCTCTGTAGCTGAACCATGGATGGGACAATTAGAAGTGGGTTATAATGGAAGTCTCAGGGCACAGTTTTAGATCTATGAACCCTGAAATCCAGTCCCTGGGCTTTTGTAGGATAGTATGCCTCTGGCTACCATACTCTGACAGACTTTTTGGTTTTTGGAGATAGGGTTTCTCTGTGTAGTCCTGGCTGTCCTGGAATTCACTCTGTAGACCAGGTTGGCCTAGAACTCACCCAGATCCTTCTGACTCTGCCTCTGCCTCCGGAGTGTTGGGATTAAAGGTGTGCACCACCACACCTGGCTGCCTGTGACTTGATCCCCAGCTCTAGACTGGCTTCCTTCTCAAGGGAATTATCCCTAAACTTAAATGTAGACAGCATGAGGACGAAGATGTAGTGTACTTGATATTTGCTCATGAGTCACTCCAGCATTCCCTAAGGTTCAGTCCATAATTAGCTACAGCTGTCTTCTAAGATCCCCAATCTACTGGGTGGTGGTAGTACACGCCTTTAACCCCAGCACTCAGGAGGCAGAAGCCGGAGAATCTCTGAATTCAAGGCCAGCCTGGTCTACAGAAAGTTCTAGAATGACCAGGTTTACAAAGAAACCCTGTCTCAGAAAAAGAAAAAGAAAAAAAGAAAAAGAAGGAAAGAAAAGAAAAAAGATAAAGGAAAAAAGGAAAGAAACCCAATAATAGTAATCCCCAATCTAATGAAAGGAAACTGCTACAAAGGAGTATTATGACTTTTGTTATTTGGGCTTTTTTTTTCTAGACAGTTTCACTGTGTAGCCCTGATAGTCCTGCAACTCACTCTGTAGACCAGACTGGCCTCGAATTCAGAGCCTGCCTCCCGAGTGCCTGGATTAAGGGCATGAGCCACCACGGCTGGGTTTTGGGATTTTGTGTGTTTTTGTTTGTTTGTTCAGACAGAGTTTCTCTGTGTAGCCTTGGCTGTCCTGGAACTCACCCTGCTGACAGGCTGGCCTCGAATTCACAGACACCTTTTTCTGGCTTCTTTTGAGTGCCTACTACACCTACCCAACCTCTCTTGGGACAGACCAAGTTGAGTTTATGGAATCGCCTGGAGAGTGGCGCCCCCTGGTGTTCGCATCAAGGACTACGTGGCAGGGGTGAAAGTAGGGCAGAGGATCCTCAAGAACCGGCAAGACCTTCTCAGCTACACTATTCACCACACCCATGAGTACCCGGACACGGAAAAGTCCCTGAGTGACAGCAGCTGCCAGGATTCGACCTCCCTCCCACAACCTCCAACCCGGGCGAACTCAGCCTGAGAAGCCCAGGCGGGGAGGGGCCGGGTCGGGGGCGGCCTGGCAGGAAGCGGCGCGTACCTTCCGTTGCAGGAGGAGCAGGTGGCTGCAGTGCTGCCCGGGGCCCCAGGCTTCCTGTGTACGCTCCCGCTGGCTGCTTTTTCCCGCCAGAGCTCATTGGGCCACCCCGGCCCTATGGCTCAGACCCCAGACGGCATATCCTGTGAACTGCGAGGTAAGCCCTGCCTGGCCTTTCCTGGGAGCCCACCTGGCCTAACCCCTCAACTAGACCTGAGCTCCCCGCCTCAGGGAGCTTAACCAAAGAGGTTCTGTTCTGGTGGCCCAGCGCCTAAAGATCCACTCCACTTCTACCTAGCTGATCCATAGAGAAACACCCAGTCTAGCACAGTCCTTGGGCACCGAGTGGCCCAGATGAGAGAATAAAAGTTACCCAGTAGATTGTTTTTCCACAGGCGAGATCACCAGGTTCCTGTGGCCCAAGGAGGCAGAGCTGCTGTTGAAAACCTGGCTTCCCCAGGAGGGTGCTGAGCAGAGTCATATCCTGGTATGGTGGTCAGTAGTAGAGTCCAGGACAGTGGCCAGGCCCAGCACAAAGAAGCTTGGTTTGCCTAGAATACCAGTATTTTGTCTCCCCCAGGCACTGCTTCGATGGAGGGCATATTTGCTGCATACCTGCCTTCCCCTGAGGGTGAGTCCCAGACCTGGCCAACACTCCTTTCCCCTTCAGTGAGGAACTGTATTTACAGAGTTGTCCTTTTTTTGCCTGTGCTGGCTTTTACTTTCCAACAACACTGGGCTTCCAGCAGCAGATAGGAGGGGAGTCTGGGCAGGTCTAGCTCTGGACTAGACTCCACAAAATCATGGGCTGGGTTGAATTCCCAGCACCACAAAGAAACTGGCTGGGACTCTCTAGTTTCAGGAGACCCACTGCCCTCTTCTGGCATTTTTGGGCACTGGGGATGCAAGTGGCACACAGACAAACATGAGGGCAAAACACCCAATAATAAAAATTTTAAAACAAAAATTAGGATCCAGAGAGTGGCCTCAGTTAGTCCTAGATGATTCCTGTACTCTCCAGGTGGACTGCACATTCAGCTACCTGGAGGTCCAGGCCATGGCACTGCAGGAAACACCTCCTCAGGTGAGACAGCTGGACCCCCACTTGGACCTACACCCTAATCGATCATTTAACCCTACACATGGACTCTGGATGAACACTAGCTTTCAAACACACTGATCCAAAAAGGGCAACAATCTCACCTCCCCCAGGTCACCTTTGAGCTGGAATCCCTGCCTGAATTGGTCCTGGAGTTTCCTGGTGTGGCTGCCCTAGAACAGCTGGCCCAGCATGTGGCTGTAGCCATCAAAAAGGTCTTTCCTCGCTCCACCCTCGGGTGAGGCCTGGAAAATCCAAGGGACTGGAGGGCATTAGTGAACTGCTTTTCACCCCTCAGAGGCTACAAGTCCCTTGCCTCTTCTCCTTTATCTCCTCCCTAGGAAGCTATTCCGGAAGCCCACACCCTCATCCCTGCTGGCTCGACTGGAGAGAAGCTGTCCCTTAGAGTCCACATCACCCAGCAGTCCCTGTGGTGAGGGCCAAATGAGAGCCACATAAAACTTCCAGTTTGCCTCTATGCAGCCCTAGACCCTTGGTATTAGAGGCGCCCCCAAAGTGAACAGGACCACTTTTGTCAGTTACTATCTAGCCTGAGGTTGGTCTTCCCCTGCCTCTGGCTCATTGTGTCTCCTTCCTTCCATTATACCCCTGGCACTTCCCTAGGTGGCTTCTTGGAGACATATGAAGCTCTGTGTGACTACAATGGCTTCCCTTTCCGAGAGGAGATTCAGTGGGTAAGAGAAGGGCCCTTTCTGGGAGCTCTGGAGATGTCGCCTATGTGTGCTGAATCCCTGTATCCTATGTGGCCCCAAGCCAGCTGTGGATACTTTCCTTCACATCCAGGATGTGGACACTATCTACCATCGGCAAGGCTGCCGCCATTTCTGCCTTGGAGACTTCGCCCACCTTGGCAGCAGGTATGAGGCTTGCCAGGATTGAGAGGAGAGGACTCCAGGAACCATATTCCTAGACTTGAGCCTCTCTGTGGTGGGGATGCTGGCTGGGCCTAGTATCTAGAAGGCCCAGAGCTCTGTACCTCCTCTTCCCCATGCCAGAGACCTGGCCTTGAGTGTGGCCGCCTTATCTTACAACCTGTGGTTCCGGCGTCTCTCCTGTGTGGACATGAAGCTGGTGAGGGTACACAACAGGGGATGCCAAGGGTGTAAGGGTCAAAGTTCAGCCTAATGAGTCATGGCCTTCCGGTCTTAGAGCCTGGAGGTCTCAGAGCAGATTCTGCACATGATGAGCCAATCTTCCCACTTGGAGGCGCTCGTCCTGGAGACCTGTGGCCTGAGAGGGTGAGAGGCCTGAGCAGGGCTTGGGATTGGGAACTAGTGGTCTCTGTCGTGACTGGGAATCAGTCTTACCCCAGGGTCTTGATCCCCAGAGACTTTGTTCGACGACTGGCGCAGGCACTGGCAGGGCATTCTAATTCTGGACTTCGGGAGCTCAGCCTGTCTGGGAACTTGCTAGATGACAGAGGTATGGCAGAACCTGGGAGACCCAAGGCAGACAGCTGGGAAAGGTGGGGCTCACTTAGCTGCTCTATCCACAGGTATGGCTGCACTCAGCAGATACCTAGAGCATTGTCCAGGAGCCCTGAGGAGACTCAGCCTAGCACAGACAGGGTTGACACCTCGAGGTGGGTGGGACTGATGAAGGCTGGGGGTTGGTGAGGTTGGGAGAGGGTGAGGTGAAGCAAGTTTGTATGATTCTGAGTCGCTTCGCTCCTTCCGCTACCTCCAGGAATGAGGGCTCTAGGCAGGGCACTGGCAGCCAATGCCACCTTTGACTCTACCCTGACCCACCTGGATCTTTCTGGGAACCCTGGGGCACTGGGAGCCTCCCAGGATAGCGGGGTGAGTGGCAGTTTTTGAAGTCAGAAATTGAAGCTGTCCAGTCATTGGGATGCCAGGAATCTTTAGGCAATCCCTGGCTCCCTCTTTCACATCTTCTCCAGGGCCTGTATACTTTCCTGAGCCGTCCTAACGTTCTGGTGTTTCTGAATCTGGCAGGCACTGACACCGCTCTAGGCACGGTGAGAGTGTGGTTGTGGGGGATATTTGGTGGGGCTTGGTGGCGTGAGAGCAGAGTAGGCTGAAGAGCAGGGCCAGGTCTAAGGGAAAGTTATTACCAATACTGTCTTCCCTCAGCTCTTTGCAGCGTTATCTGGTGGCTGCTACTCCAGTCTCGCCCACCTCGAAGCTTCAAGGAATGTCTTCTCACGCACGTAAGGGGCACAGTGAGGCCTGGGAGGAAGAGACTTCGGGAAATCAGTTCTGTGAGCCTGAATCCCACTTCTCCTTCTCCCCACCCCCACCGCAGGAAGTCCCGAGCGGCACCCGCTGCGCTGCAACACTTCCTTGGCAGTGCCAGGATGCTGCAGCACCTGGGCCTGGCCGGCTGCAAACTGCCACCTGAAGCGCTTAGGTCAGTCTTACTTTCCATGGCCACGCCCCCACATGTTCAGTCACGATCTTGACCAGACCTCCACTGTCCACTTTATTCCTCCCTCCCATCTTCCATAACTCCAAGTTGCCTGGCACAGGATTATTCGTTCTCACCCTGAGTCCCACTTTCCCAAATCTTGTCACCTGTGTGACATCCTCTCCCAGGGCCCTTTTAGATGGCCTTGCGCTCAACACGCAGATCCACGACCTGCACCTGGACCTCAGTGCATGTGAGGTAGGCATCTGGTCCTGGTAGTGAACCAGGAGCATGTCCACACATTGGGAGTGGGACTGAGAGGACTTCCCCTCTCGGGCATAAATATCCTGAGTGCACCCTTACCTCCACCTCCAGCTACGCTCTGCGGGTGCCCAGGTGATACAAGACTTAGTTTGTGACGTGGGTGCCTTGAGCTCCTTGGATCTGTCAGACAATGGTGAGGCCACCGGGGAACCCATCCACACTCCCATAATTCACCTGATTCCCAGGGTGGGGACCCCACCCTGGCCGCATAGACCTGTGCTTCACCCTAGTTACCCCCAGGCTTTGGCTCCGACATGGTGACTCTGGTGCTTGCCATTGGGAGGAGCAGGTCTCTGAAATACGTGGCCCTTGGAAGAAACTTCAACGTTCGGTGCAAGTGAGCTTCAAGCCTATCCTTATACCCCTCAGATAGGACTCCACCACTCAGATAGGCCCCTAACAGTGGCCCCTGCCCACAGGGAGACCCTGGACGATGTCTTGCACCGGATAGTCCAGCTCATGCAGGACGATGACTGTGTGAGTTCACAGAACCTGGGGGCGCCTCAAGCAATTAGCCTCTTGTGATGCTTCTCACTTTTGCTTCTTCAAACCCTCTTTGCTGAACCTGATTCCGATCATCCGTTAATGCTTTTCTTTTAATCCCAGCCTTTGCAGTCTCTGTCAGTGGCTGAGTCCCGGTTGAAGCAGGGAGCCAGCGTCCTGCTTCGGGCTTTGGGCACTAACCCTAAACTGACAGCACTGGATATCAGTGGCAATGCCATAGGTGATGCTGGTGCCAAGATGCTTGCCAAGGCTCTACGAGTCAACACCAGGCTTCGGTGGGCATAGTCATTATAAGGGCTTGGACTAACAAGAGAAGAAAGGGGGGTACGTTAGAGGGGTGTGGGGACTAAGGCGTGCAGACTGATGAGGTGGATTAATGGATAAGGCCAGAGGTTGAGGTGGGGCTCTGTCCCAGCTAAAGTCTGGTGGGGCCTAGGTCGGTGATCTGGGACCGAAACAACACATCAGCCCTGGGCCTGCTGGATGTGGCACAAGCCCTGGAAGAGAATCACAGCCTGAAGTCCATGCCGCTGCCTCTGAATGATGTAACACAGGCACATCGCAGCCGTCCAGAACTAACAGCACAAGCAGTCCATCAGGTGGGGTGTCCCTTCTCGTTCGCCTCCCTTTTATAAGTGTAGACTATGCCCCCTGGCACTTCTCACTATCCCTTGACTGCAGATCCAAGCCTGTCTCTTGAGGAACAACCGGGAAGACCCTGCTTCTGACCTCAAGCCCTGCCTTCAGCCCTTGGGTCTGATTTCAGAGCACTCAGAGCAGGTCAGTGTTCCTTCCCTAATCTTGAGTACCTGGGCACTTGAGGCTGAGAGTATGACGCTCTTGGGTCAAGCTGCCTGAGTTCTGTGTCCCAGACAATTTTCTCTCTTTGGTCACTCCCCATGTAATGTTTGGCTGCCTTACTTTAAGAATGTAAATAAGCTCTCCTCATAGTCTCATCTGACTTCCCATTCAAGGTCTCCTCTCTCTACTCATCTCTGTGGCTAGCTTCAATAGTCCCATCTCTGGCATGAATTTCCTTCCACTACTTGTTTTCCTGAGCTGTCCCTATGTCTGCATTTCCAAGCCTCAATTCTCACCTAACTCTGAAGCCCAGTTACCTTGATCCAGACATGTGAGGGGTGGGCTTTATACACTGCGTGCCTTCAAGTGATTTTTCACAAGTTATTACATGTATTTATTGTGTGTGACTGTGTGTGATCATACATGCACCCGAATGCTCATGCTCACAGGTACATATCGAAGTGAAAAGATAACAGGTAAGAGCCGGTTCTCTCCTTCCACAGTGTGGGTTCCAGGGATGGACTCAGTCAGGCTCAGTGGCAAGGGCAGTTACCTCTGGGCCATCTCACAGCCTCTCACGTGATCTTATTATCATCCATAAACCCCACTCTCTATCATGGGACACAATTTCTTTGTTGCCTATATTACTATGCCCTTCCAGGTCCCTTCTGGCCACACTGGAGCATTCACAGCCTTGGTCTACCTCTGGACCATCTCTCAAACATACAGTCCTTACCCCAGATCAGCCACCTTTTGCTGCCTCAGTTTTTGTCTCTTTTACACACACACACACACACACACACACACACACACACACATATCCTTGGTGAGGATGGTTGAGAAGACTTCAAAGAAGTAACCAAAAGGTTCCTTCTTTCTAACAAGTCCCTAAAACAACCAAAAGGGAAAGACCCTGCTATCCTACCTTGAGCATATAGGGTTTCCCAAGCACCTTGTTTCATAGTTTGTCTTCCAGGCTTCACCTTCCCTATCAGAAACCCTGGAAGGGGGTCAGGCAAGATCAGGGAGACTCATAAGAGACAAAGGTGGGACTAACCATGATTCTCCTCAGGAAGTGAATGAACTATGCCAGTCAGTGCAGGAGCATGTGGAGCTGCTGGGCTGTGGGGCTGGGCCCCAGGGTGAGGTTGCTGTGCACCAGGCTGAAGATGCCATCCAAAATGCCAACTTCTCTCTCAGTGTGAGCACTCCCTCCCCACTGTGAGGACCTTTCTGCTCCTAATGAAGTGTCAGCTTACAACTCTTTTTGTTCCATGGCCCTCAGATCCTTCCCATTCTATATGAGGCTGGGAGTTCTCCAAGCCATCACTGGCAGCTGCACCAAAAGCTGGAGGGCCTCTTGGGTCAGGTGGGTGAGATCTGCCGCCAGGACATCCAGGTAAGTAAGGTGTTATTCCTGCCCTAGCTTCACCTTCCTCTGCAGGCTTGATCCTCAGTCCACAGGCTTGTCTGTGATACGCCCTTAACCAGCAGTGATTTAATGGAGGCTCACACCCTTAAGTCAAGGGGTCTAGGTTCTAGCTATATTGGTTACCATTGTATAACCTTTGTCTAGGACTTCACTCAGACCACACTGGATACCACAAGGAGCCTTTGCCCACAGATGTTGCAGAGACCTAGCTGGAAGGAGCAGCTAGAAGGAGTTCTGGTGGGCTCCAGGAGCCTTCCAGAACTGCTTCCAGAACATTTGCTGCAAGATGCCTTTACTAGGCTGAGGTACGAAAGCTCCACTGGGGTGGCAAATCTGGAAAGAGCCACACACTAATCATCACCCTCTCCTGCCTTCAGGGACATGCGCCTGTCAATCACAGGGACCTTAGCAGAGAACATTGTGGCTCAGGCTCTTGAAGGTCTTCATACAGCCAGAGATCGACTGGTGAGGGGAAGCTTTGCATATGTTTCACAGAGTAACCTGTTTAACACTCACAGGGGGCCCTGTAATGACTTCTGGGGTCATAAGATAACTACTTTAGGCTTATCTTAGATCTGCCTGTCTTTGGGTGGCTGGTCTTGCAGGTGGAGAGTCTAGCAGAGCAGTCAGCAGTGACAGTGGATCCTGCTGTACCATCACTGGATGTACATGAGCTAAGTCCCCTTGAGACTGGGGGATTGGAAGATCTTTTCTTTCCCATGGAGAAGGAAGAGGAGAGAGAGGTGAGTGAGTGTCTCCAGAATTCCATGCCTAGAACTCCAAATCTTCCCTTGCTCAGGGATGTGGAAGGTGAGTAGCAGTTCTGGATTTTGCCCCACTCCAACCCTAGACTGAGGTTGTATCCATCCCACCAGGATAATGGTTCGTCATGGAAATGGCTTGAGCCCAGCTATTGTTTTCACCTGGTCCCCTCCCTTCATGGTAAGTCAGACCCTGGAGGAAAGAGAGTTTACCAAGTGAACTGAAGCTCTGTTAAATCTAGGCACTTAGACACTCATTCAGTCCTGGCCTAGGTATACCCTAACCCTCAACCCCCACCCCGAGCCAGGCTAGAAAGAAAGCCGGAATCAGCTCTTCTCGGAACTGTATGAGACCTGAATGGAATAAGACTAAAATACCTGCTTCCCTGCCTCCCCCGCCCCTTTCCCTAACCCCAGGACGCGCATGCTTGGCAGCTGCTCCGAGCCGCGCGCACTCGGGGCCGCGCTCAGCACCA